GAAATGCATCCAACCTCAGGACGCCAACATCAGATTAAAAATCCAGGCCTTCATTACAACTCTCACTGTGTTCTGCTTTCCCACTGCACCAACAGCTAGACACTTAGTTGTGGTTGGTTGGCTCGCCGAGCTGGTTCGTTGTTTTTCCGCAGACGTTTCATTACCCTGCTGGGTAACATCATCAGTGCAGCCTCCGATGAAGCGCCGTTGTGTTTTCCCGCCTGTTATTTCAACTCTGGAGTCCGTTGAGCTGGATTACCTCACTTCCGGTTTTCCTTCGCGGTGGAGTGTATGTGGGGTCTAGCTCTATGTGTTTGTTGATGGCTTTCTTCGTGGAGTACCAGGCTTCCAGGAGTTCCCGCGCTTGTCTCTGCTTTACTTGTCGCAGGATCTTGGTGTTGTCCCAGTCGAATTGGTGGTTCTCCTTATCCATGTGGATAGAGATGAGTGTGTATTGGCCGTGTCTTTTTGTTGCCAATTGATGTTCGTGTACTCTTGTGATTAATTTCCTTCCTGTTTGTCCGATGTAGTGTTTGTCACAGTCTCTGCAGGGAATCTTGTATATGACAATGGTCCTGTCCATAGTGGGTAAGGGTCTTTGCTTCGGGTGAGCAGTTGTCGTAGGGTTGAGACAACAAGGTGCAGGGCTGGATGAACACAGCAGGCCAAGCAGCATCATAGGAGCAGAGAGGCTGACGTTTCGGTTTCTGATGAAGGGTCTAGGCCCGAAACATCAGCCTCTCTGCTCCTATGATGCTGCTTGACCTGCTGTGTTCATGCAGCCCTGCACCTTGTTGTCTCGGATTCTCCAGCATCTGCAGTTCCTACTATCTCTGTCGTAGGGTTGAGGTGGGTTTGTGTGCTACTCTGATGCCCAGTGGTCGTAGGAGTCTTGTGGTCAGTTCAGATGTGTTCCTGATGTAAGGTAGCGTGGTGAGTGTGTTGGGGCGTGTAGTATCTTCCTGGATAGGCATCTTCTGACCCAGTTTTTCGGGAGTCCATTGTCCTTGAACACCTGGAAGAGGTGCTCTTCTTCTCGGAGTAGCTCTGTGTTGCTGCAGTGTGTTGTTGCCTGTTTAAATAATGTTCGCACGCAACTTGGTTTGTGTGTGTTGGGGTGGTTGCTGTTTAAATTCAGTACTTGGTCAGTGTGCGTGTGGCTTTCCTGTGTGCCTTTGTTAGGAATTCCCCATTGGTCCTGCATTAGGCCTGGTTCTCCACTAATAAAGCCATCAACAAACATAGAGCTCGACCCCATATACACTTCACTGCGAAGGAAAACCGGAAGTGAGGTAATCCAGCTCAACGGACTCCAGAGTTCGAATAACAGACGGGAAAACACAACGGCGCTTCATCGGAAGCTGCACTGATGATGTTACCTGGCAGGGTAATGAAACATCTACAGAACAATGAACCAGCTCGGCGAGCGAACCAACCACAACATCCACAACCCGAGCTACAAAACTGCTCTAAAATCTTAGAGACACTTAGTTTCTGCTATTTCCAGCAGCCACTCTGCACAACTAGTTGAAAGGTCTTTTTGTTGCTGAGGCATGGAAATTTATCCACTCATTTGACACTAGCCAAGGTGACTAGCTGAAAAGTCAATGGCCAAAAAAGTGGACTTTTCAGGTGATTTAAATAAGGAAAAAACGAGCTGATTCAGATGGTAATGTCACTGGGCCAGTAATCCAAAACCCCTGATAAATGTTTCTGGGGACGTGGGCTCAAATCCCATCCCGGCAGACGGTAAAATTTAAATTCCCTTGGGGTAAGGTCTCTCACCCTCCATCAGATGGGGAGATTGCACCGTGTATGGTCATGGGCTGTGCTCTCTTGTGGTACAACATTGCCCTCTGCTGTTCCCAGCCAACATATTCATGGTCATAGGTGAGGGCTGCGTGCTCAAAACCATGAAAGCCCAGACCAACTGAATGAGCAATAGAGATAACAAGGTGTAGAGCTGGATGAACACAGCAGGCCAAGCAGCATCAGAGGAGCAGGAAGGCTGATGTTTCGGGCCTAGACCCTTCTTCAGAAATGGGCCTGTTTGGGTGCCTAAGTAAAAAGTTGTCATTTGTAAATAACCTGATGTGCTCTAATTTGTTTCATTGCTGATGCAGTGCGCATTCTGAAAGCCCATTTCTGCATTGATACTGCCCCTGGTTGGTTTCCTTGGACTGTTAGGGCCAATCATACCACGGTGGGGGGGAGGTGGGGGGTCGGGGGCAGGGGGTGGGTATTTGGGAGGCTGCTATTTGGGCTTTTCTGTGCCCAGTCATCAAATCCCCAAGCTGTCTCAATCGCCACAACTTCCCATTCCCGCTGTCTATGCCTACTTTCACCGAATTTCCATCCTGGATGTGAGTAGAAGGCTCACCCTTTGCCAACCGTTGCACCAACTGGGCATTTAATGGCTGTGAGGCAGCTAGGTGGAACCATCAGGGGGACGCAACCCTCATCGTCTCTCCGGGAGGTGAAGCAGGAAGCCCGGCTCTCTGAAAAATCCTACTCCACAGTCTGTGCGCAGCTCCGCGTTTGCTGTGAAAGTTTGTTCCTCCATAATTTTGTAGTCCCGAGTAGTCCTGACTCTAAAATGTTCATCCTCCTCTTCAGATCTCTCAGTGGCCTGGTCCCTCCCTCACTTTGTCACCCCCTCCAGCCCCACAGCTCTCTGAGATATCCGTGCTCCTCTTTCTCGGTCTCTCGTGCACGATGGAGAGTAGGCTGATGGGGCGGTAAATGGCCAGGTTGGATTTGTCCTGCTTTTTGTGTACAGGAAAGGGAACCAGGGAGAGAGTAGGGGGCAATCTGTGCTTGGAGCCAGAGCACATTTTTAGGGAGTTAAACGGATACAACACATCTGTCTCCACTTTGGAGTAGGGAGGCGTAGGAATGAGGGACTGTGAGATTTTTCAGCAGTTTGGCAGAGAAGATGAGAAGGTATTGGAGGCTTTGCCGGGCTAAACAGTGGACAAATTCCCAAGGTCTGGATGAGTTGTATCCCAGGCTGCTGTGAGGGACAAGGAAGGAAATTATTGGTGCTCTGTCTCAAACTTTTTTTAATTCCTCTCTGGCTACGGGGGGAGGTGTCAGAGAACTGGAGGACAGCTAATGTGGTTCCATTTTTCAAGAAGGGAGGTAGAGATAAATGAGGGAACTACAGAGCAGCGAGTCTCACATCAGTGTTTGGAAAGCTATTTGAGAAAACTCTGAAGGAAAGAGTTGATCTTCGCTCGGGGAGGTAAGGTGTGACCAGCAATAGTCAGCATGACTTTGTCAGAGGGAGGTCATGGCTAACACATTTGATTGTATTTTTTGAGGAGGTGACCATGGGTGTAGACGAAGGCCTTTCAGCAAGGCCTTTGACAAACTCTCACATGGGAATCTGATAAAGAAGGTAAAAGTTGGAGTTAAAAACAAGGACAAAAACAAAGTTGCTGGAAAAGCACAGCAGGTCTGGCAGCATCTGTGAGGGAGAAAACAGAGTTAACGTTTTGGGTCCGGTGACCCTTCCTCAGAACTGTTTTCTCCTTCACAGGTGCTGCCAGACCTGCTGAGCTTTTCCAGCAACTTTGTTTTAGTTCCTGATTTACAGCATTCGCAGTTCTTTTGGTTTTTAAAAGTTGGAGCTGTTGGTTCACTGAGCTGATTGGTTTCCATGCAAACATTTCATCTCCCTTCTAGGCGATATCATCAGTGCTGTGTAGCCTCTGTTGAAGTGCTGTTGTCCTTCTATATTACAGTGTATTGAAAGTTTCAATTAAGTTTCAATACACTCTGACAAGGAACGACATCAATTTGACTGAAGCAAAGTAACAGTACTAGGATAAGTGAGACAAAGACAGCACGAGAATTCCTGAAGGCCTGGTTTTCAACCACTGATGCAATTAACAAACATGTTGAAACAGGCCCCCACCTACATACCATCTGGTACAAAACCGGAATCAAATCTGCCCACCGTGACAGACCGGACCATATAAATTCAGAGTGGGACAGAACGACAGCACTTCGGCAGAAGCTACACAGCACTGATGATGTCACCTAGAAAGGAGACAAAATGTTTGCAGGAAAACCAGTGGGCTCGGTGAACCAACCAGCAACTCCAACCACAACCCGAGCTACAGGTCTTCGTTTAAACATTAAAGAAGGTAAAAGTACATGTACTCCACATTTACTTGGAAAGTTGGATCCAAAATTGGGTTGTTGGCAGGAGGCAGACGGTATGGTAGAAGTCTGAAGAAGCGTCCCGACACAAAACAAGATGATGAGGGGCATAGAACATAGAACATAGAACATTACAGCGCAGTACAGGCCCTTCGGCCCTCGATGTTGCGCCGACCTGTGAAACCAATCTGAAGCCCATCTAACCTAAACTATTCCATTATCATCCATATGTTTATCCAATGACCATTTAAATGCCCTTAAAGTTGGCGAGTCTACTACTTTTGCAGGCAGGGCATTCCACGCCCTTACTACTCTCTGAGTAAAGAACCTACCTCTGACATCTGTCCTATATCTATCACCCCTCAATTTAAAGCTATGTCCCCTCGTGCTAGCCATCAACATCCAAGGAAAAAGGCTCCCACTGTCCACCCTATCTAATCCTCTGATCATCTTGTATGTCTCTATCAAGTCACCTCTTAACCTTCTTCTCTCTAACGAAAACAGCCTCAAGACCCTCAGCCTTTCCTCATAAGACCTTCCCTCCATACCAGGCAACATCCTGGTAAATCTCCTCTGCACCCTTTCCAATGCTTCCACATCCTTCCTATAATGCGGTGACCAGAACTGTACGCAATACTCCAAGTGCGGCCGCACCAGAGTTTTGTACAGCTGCAACATGACCTCGTGCTTCCGAAACTCAATCCCTCTACCAATAAAACCTAACATACTGTACGCGTTCTAAACAACGCTATCAACCTGGGTGGCATCTTTCAGTGATCTATGCACATGGACACCGAGATCTTTCTGCTCATCCACACTACCAAGAATCTTACCATTAGCCCAGTACTCTGTATTCCTGTTACTCCTTCCAAAAGGTAGAGTGGACAGTAAGAGACTTTTTCCCAGGGCGGAAATGACTATTACGAGGGGGCGTAATTTTAAGGTGATTGGAGGAAGGTATAGGGGAGATGTCAGAGATAGATTCTTCACACAGAGAGTGGTTGGCATGTGGAATGCGCTGCCAGCAGTGGTAGTGGAATCAGATACTTTAGAGACTTTTAAGCGACTCTTGGATAGACCCATGGAGGATAGTAAAATGTAGGGTATGCAGGGTAGATTGATCTTAGGATAATAAGTTGGCACAACATCATGGGCCGAAGGGCCTGTACTGTGCTGGACTGTTCTATGTTCTATGTTCTATGAAACGTCAACTTTCCTGCTCCTCTGACGATGCCTGGCCTGCTGTGTTCCTCCAGCTCCACACTGTGTTATCTCTGACTCCAGCATCGGCAGTTCTTGCTATCTCATGGTAGAAGGCTGTTTGTGTGACTGGAGACCACTGTTCAGTGGCGTTCCACAGAGGTTATTGCTGGGTCAACCTTCATTTCAAGTAATTACTGTCTCTAGGATGCATTCTTCAGCCTGCAGGGCACTGAGCTCAACAGTTCCAGTACAGCTACAATACTGACTTATATCTTCTGCCTGACGGAAGAGATTATAACCGGGGTGGTTGGGGTCTTTGATGTTGTTGGCTGCCTTTCCAAGGTAGAGAGAAGTGTAAATGGAGTCAATTGATGGAAAGTTGGCTTGCATAATGGACTGGGTTGTATTCACAACTTTCTGTGGTTTCTTACGGTCCTGGGCAGAGCAGTTGCCATACTGCCATTTCGATGCCCAATGTAAATTCAGCAAACATTGTGCGGTGATTTTTTAAAAAATAAATCACTGTTATCAGAAAGAGTTAACTCTGCTGGCTGTTTTCAAGGGGCCTGAGAAACTTTGCATACAATCCCAAAATACTTTTCATCTATCCCTTCCTTTTATCATTCTTCTCTCTAAAACCAATGTTTAAATTTTGATGTTAACTACTTGACCAGATTATAGAGAAACAGTCAGTAAACATGTGTGTTTGATTTGGCTTTTTTTTAAACTCTGAAACAAAGTGCTTTGAAACATTCAAGCTGGAGTTCTGTTAAACATTTTCAAAATTTCAGGCTTATCTTTATATCTTGAGAAACAAGTCTTTTCACAGCTGTACAAGTACATATTAATTCATACTGAAGACATGTCTCACCCAAAAACTTCAATTTTTTTCCATGCATAGAAGTTCACAATATTTTTGATCAATTCCCTAATTTTTCACAATTTTTTTCAACCTTCTTCCTCAAACTGATTTTATTTGGATGTCTATTGGTTATAAATGACACCCTGCATTAACAATGGCTAGTCAGTGTTCCAAAAGTGTATTCTTTCCACTCGTCTGAGTACAGCTTCAGGGCTTAGATAAGTATCATGGGTGTTGGAGTTTAACTTGACTAACGTTAATTTCTGACCGCCTTTAGTTATCAATGGTGCAGTCTACTTGTCAAACCCCCACCAGCCTCTTCAAAACAGCTGGAGGATCGAACCAAAATATTGCGCCAGTACAGTAGTTATAATTGCACACTTTAATTATTCTAATATAGACTTCAATAGTAACACTATAAAGGACAGAGAGGGCAGGACGAGATTGAATAGTTGATTGATTGAGATTGCTAAAAGTAAAAATGGAAATTGTCGAGTTCCTGACCACATTCTTCCAACCCTCCTTCAGTACAAAGGTGTTACCAGACAAATAGAGAACTGCAAATGTTGCACTATTGTTCAAAGGTCTAAGGATAATCTAGCAACTGCAGGCTAGTCAATCTAACCTTCAGAAATTAAAATTGTTAGTCACTCAAAGAAGTGTGGATTTATAAGGAAAGCCAACATATACTTGTGTAGTGGAGAGATAGTAGGAACTGCCGATGCTGGAGAATCTGAGATAACAAGGTGTATAGCTGGATGAACGCAGCAGGCCAAGCAGCATCAGAGGAGCAGGAAAGCTGATATTTGGGATGAAGGCGAGGTGGATCTCATTGACTATGAGATCCATGATTGTTAACCTGGGCCAATCAGGGAGCCCTGGCTGACAGATATAAGCAGGAGATTCAGAGAGTCTCCACATTCTAGGGACTTACTCTGAGCAAACTGTTCAGACTCCATGTACTGGGCATGTGCAAATAAAGGGTGACTCAGTGACGGGATACCAGCCTCTGTGGAGTTATTTCAACTTGTTAAAGGCAATGTATGTTTAACAAAATTGATTGTGAGCTTTTGATGAGAGAGTGGAGAGTGTGGGGAGGGGGGTGGGGATCAGGATGATACAGTTTATGTGTAAAACTTCCAAAAGGCATTTATCAAAACTTCCACATAACAGGCTTGTGAGCAAATTTGTACAATGGCAACATGGGTAAGAAGTTAGCTGAGAGACAAGAAACAGGCATCGGTCGACGATTTATAAATTGGAAGAAGTTACACAGTGAGGTTCCTCAAAGGTCACAGCCAGGACCACTACATTTCTTGAAATACATTAATGCTCTAAATTTGGACACACGAGGCGCAACTTCCAAAGTGAGTAGATGACACAAAACCTGGAGGTGCTTTGAATTGTGAAGTAGACTGTGCAGACTTCACGTGGATGCAGGCAGGTCTGCGAAATGAGCAAGCATTTCTCAAATGAAATTTAACGCAGAGAAGTATGAAATGATCCATTTGGGGAGGCGATGGCCTAGTGGTATTATCACTGGATTGTTAATCAAAAGACCCAGATAATGTTCTGGGGACCTGGGTTCGAATCCCACCATGGCTGATGGTGGAATTTGAATTCAATATCTAGGATTAAGAGTCTAATGATGACCATGAATCTATTGTCGATTGTTGGGAAAGATCCATCTGGTTCACTAATGTGCTTTAGGGAAGGAAACTGCCATCCTTACCTGGTCTGGCCTATATGTGACTCCAGACCCACAGCAATCTGGTTGACTCTTAACTGCCCTCAGGGCAATTAGGGATGGGCAATAAATGCTGCCTAGCCAGCAATGCCCTCATCCCATGAATGAATAATAAGAATTGGGTAGGAAGAAGATGCAATAGAAATTAAAGTGCACAATTCTTAAGTGTGGGCAGGAATGGAGGTATTTGTGCACAAATCAGTGAAGATAGCAGGTTGTGAAAAGATTTTGAAAGGATTTTAGGTATCATAATTGGAGCCAGGGAGTACAAAATCAGGGAGTGATGATGTACCTTTTTAAAACCTCAGCTGGAAGACAGTATCCAATTCTGGCACCACATGTTTCAAGCATGTGACATTTCCAGGAATCTGTGCATAGGCTGGAGGTTGAATTTCTGTCTTTGAATTCACGGGAAATTTGATACACTTATTCAACATCATAAAGAGCCTGGACAGAGTTACACAGTGAGAAAATGTTTCAGCTGGGGGAGGCGTCAGAAAAGAAGGAAATCAATTTGAGGCAAAATAAAGCGAGGACAAACCATTTTATCAGGCGCTAAAACAGGAGTTGCTGGAAAAGCTCAACAGGTCTGGCAGCATCTGTGAAGTAAAAAAATCAGAGTTAATGTTTCGGGTCCGGTGATCCTTCCTCAGAACTCTAACTGTTTTCTTCACAGATACTGCCAGACCTGCCGAGATTTTAGAGCAAATTCTGCTTTTGTTCCTGATTTACAGCATCCGCAGTTCTTTCAGTTTCCATTTCAACAGGCATATGGTTACAAACCCCGAGACAGACAAAGCAACATCTACATAGGGACACCAGTAACCAGCAGGTTCTTTTCGAAGACACAAACCACCCTGAATTGGAATTATATCACTGTTCCTTCACTGTCACTGGGTCAAAATCCTGGAACTCCCTTTTTACCAGCATTTCTGGGTGCATTTATACCACAAGGACTCTGACAGTTCAAGATGGCAGCTCACCACCACCTACGCCAAGGCGGTTGGGGATGGCCAATAAATAGTGGCCTAGCCAGCGTTGCCCTCAACCTGTGCACAAATTTTAATAAAAACGGTCAATCCAACACTTCAACCATCATCAGCTCAACATATGCCAGTGTCTGCACAAACTTAACAGCCATCTCAAAAGCCATTGAGTTTGAGTGAAATTACGGGATGCTCTGTCTGTCACATCCACTGTGAAAGGTGAGTGACAGAGATAAGTAGCCAAGATGACTCACTTTAATTTGCATCGTAGAAACAGCTTTTACATTATAAAGCCTTTATTTTTCTACAGGAACCGCTGATGTGGCAGTTAATCAAATGCCTTCTGGAAATCCAAGTACAATATGCCTACAGGCCTACCGCCCCACCCCTGCCCTCCACCTTTATGCACTATGCGTGTTACTCCTTCAAAGAGCTCAAATAATTTGGTTTTACATGATTTCCCTTTAAAAGAGCTAAGCCGACTCTCCCCAATTATGTTGAATATTTGTCTAAGTGTCCAGCTACACCTCTTCAACTGTCAATTCTAACACCTCCCGCAAGACAACCATTACGGTACATAACCTATAGTTTCATGTTTTCTGTCTTGCTCCTTTCTCGGATAGAGGAGTTACATTTGCTGCTTTTGACTCTGATGGAACCTTCCTTGAAATTTAGGGAATTTTGAATAATTAACATCAACACATCTACTGCTTCATTTGAGATAACAAGGTGTCGAGCTGAATGAACACAGCAGGCCAAGCAGCCTCAGAGGAGCAGGAAAGCTGACATTTGGGATGAAGGCGAGGTGGATCTCATTGACTATGAGATCCATGATTGTTAAGCTGGGCCAAGTACTCCACAACCTCATCCATAATAATAATAATAATAATCGACTCATAATTTCACTAATCTCCCTTCCATCATTTGATTTACAGCTATTGCTGCGAAGTTGTTTTGTATCCTTGAAGAGAGAAGCAAAACATTTGCTCACTTTTAGAATACTGCATGCAATTCTGGTCTCTCTGCTATAGGAAGGATGTTGTGAAACGTGAAAGGGTTCAGAAAAGATTTACAAGGATGT